AAAACAATAATACAGTGATACAATAAGTTTATACTAACTAGATAATATATAAAACAATAATACAGTGATACAATAAGTTTATACTAACTAGATAATATATAAAACAACAATACAGTGATACAGATAAGTTTATACTAACTAGATAATATATAAAACAACAATACAGTGATACAATAAGTTTATACTAACAAGATAATATATAAAACAACAATACATTAACACAAATAAGTTTATAATAACTAGATAATATATAAAACAACAATACAGTAACACAAATAAGTTTATACTAACTATATGTTATATAAAACAACAATACTGTAATACAAATAAACAAATAAGTTTATACTAACTATATGTTATATAAAACAACAATACAGTAACACAAATAAGTTTATAATAACTAGATATTATATAAAACAACAATACAGTAACACAAATAAGTTTATAATAACTAGATATTATATAAAACAACAATACAGTAACACAAATAAGTTTATAATAACTAGATATTATATAAAACAACAATACAGTAACACAAATAAGTTTATAATAACTAGATATTATATAAAACAACAATACAGTAACACAAATAAGTTTATACTAACTATATGTTATATAAAACAACAATACTGTAATACAAATATACAATAAGTTTATACTAACTATATATTATATAAAACAACAATACAGTAACACAAATAAACAAATAAGTTTATACTAATTATATGTTATATAAAACAACAATACTGTAATACAAATATACAATAAGTTTATACTAACTATATGTTATATAAAACAACAATACTGTAATACAAATATACAATAAGTTTATGCTAACTATATGTTACATAAAACAACAATACAGTAACACGAATAAACAATAAATTTACATGTTAACCCTGTGGTGTATGTATTGCTATGTAAGTTACCTAACGTTTGCAGACGCTGCCAGCATATTGTTCGGGTCAAGGGTGGATGAGTATTGAATGCAGTAATAGTGATATGAATTTTTAACGTATCTACTTTTGTCCAAGTCCACAGCAGCTAATACGCTGAAGAAACAGAAGATCACTGGTCAAGCTAATGTAAACTATCTCTCTCACCTTAAATTCTGCAAGTCACCACATCCACTATGCACGAGACGGCTCATACTCATGAATTTCACTCGCGGGCTGCAACCAATAAGCCGCTTATCACACATATGAGTTCAAATAATTAACTCTTATGGTATCGCACAGTAATAAGAATTGAAAACTATGATGAAGAGCAATGAATCTTGCTATTGGATGCTTACTTTGGAAAAGTTTGATGGCTACCTGAGGGAAATACTTGAGATATAATTATTGTCCCTACAATAAAGATTGAATGGATAATATCTTAACTATACATCATGCTATATGAGTCGCCGTGTCCAGTAGTGGACTGAGTCAAATGGCATCTAGAATCAGCCTTAGCTAAACTATAGCCTTCACTAACTCATTATGGAATGCTTTGGAACTGAGCGTAAGGACCATGAAGAAGATGTTCCTCAAATCTTCAACAAGTTAATGGTCTTCTTTGCCAGAGGAGTGGCACTCTATTCCACCAAATGTATACGCACACGCTACTGTTTACAAGTGTTTGTAACAGAGCCCAGGTTGTGTTTTGTCTAATGTTTTATTGCCCATAAACTAAATAGTTGACGCTCATTAGCCGTCAGTATCTAAGTTTTAACACGCCCAGACGCAGTTTTATAAAGAAAACTGACTAGAAAAAGGTTTAGATACCAATCATAGATGGCAGAACCAGTGCTGAGGTGAAAGGAAATATCTTAAAAAAATTTTTGAAAAAAACATTTCTTCTTAGAGGGTGCTTATTTACAGTCTAAAACGTATTTTAGGAATTTTTTCATTAAATTCCTCTTTAAACTTCATTAAATAATACAATTTTGTACAAATAATTGAATGTTATGCTACTATTTATAAAAATAAAATCAGAAATCCATTAAAAGATAAGTTCTCTATCATTTTTTGAATTCACAAATGATTTTGCCCTCACACTTGCATTGCCTACTAAGAAAGTTAGTACCAGTAGTCATCGGGTTAACTCTTTGATTACAGAGCTACATAACCACCAAAGTAGTCATGAGAGTAGTCATACTATAACTTTTGATAATGTATGCATATCTTCACAAAATTTTGCAGATTATCAGTAATCATTACAAGGCTTTCATACACAAAATATCAGGTTTTTAACCATGTATTAAGAATTTGTAATTAAAGTTTTGCTCAAGATTTTTTCTTTCCAAAATACTGACTATTCAACATGCAAAGTAATTTAGATTTTAAGGTTAAAAATACTTTTCTTCATCTGAAAATTGTCAAATTTCATTTGCATAACCTCTATAGCCTCTTACATAAATATCAAACTTTTTTCTACCAAATTTTATACCTTATATATTTTCTCTACCTTAACTCTATACTAAAATTATCTCAATAAATCTAAATTACACTTTTTTCTTTCTTGAATGACTGCAAATGTGACAGGAAATCACAAATGTTTACTCTAAGTAGCTTAAATCTCGTAACAGTACAGATCTATTCACATTTATTAATTTGTTTTTTATTGGCCTTTGAAGCATGTCTAACTTATAATCCCACCAGATAAGTTGTAAATCACATGACACACATGCATCTCATGTTACCATATCTGGTAGCATAAAACTAGCCTTTACAAAGTACAAATGTTTTACTGTTCTTAGTCTTAATACTAGCACACCAGTATTTTGTAGAATATAATAATATTTCGGTTACCAGACATTACACATGTATAAATATTATTACTATTTTCAAATAAATTCTTAAATTTCAGTTATTTTTGCTTAAAACATAGAACAGTAAATAAAAAATATATAGAAAACAATTATCTCTACTACTTACAATGTTACAAAGTTGCTTTGTTCTCGCTTGTCGTATGTGCTAAGCCTCATCGAATTGTGCACATGGAGGATGTACAAATATAATTTTTGAAGGTTTTTATATATACATTTTGAAATAACATAAAAATTATAAATTACTATACAAATACCACAAAATTCCACTGTAATTTATCAGTTTTTTTAGCTAAGTCTAAAAAATCAACATACCTCCTTCATCACCACTCAAACATCAGTAATGATGGCTTTAGAAGGACTAACAGAATTACATAATTCAAAATGAGTGCTTTCAATTGGTTATAAACATGCAAACAAACATTATTCATACTGGGAAACAAAAACAAAGACAATAACTCAAGAAGAGATTCTTTCAATGTAAAATATTATCTGTAACCAAGAGACCAAAAAAAAAAAATATGAAAAGAATCACATTCTAACTTTATGTAGGTGTAGGTAAACAAGTATTTTCAAAAGAGGAAGAGGTGGGCAGAGCCACCTTGGTTGATTCACTAAATATCATGATATCTCAGCAAATGGTTAAGGTAGGAGGTTCTTATTTCATATTCTAGCTTGTCAATATCAGTAATTTGAGTTTCTAATTCATTACAAACATCTTATAAAGCTCACAAAACAATCTGAGCAAATACAGAAGACAATGTATCGTGATACACCAAAAAATTTATATTTAGCACTTTTTTTAATATTTACTTTTGAACTAAAAAATTAAGTAATGTATAATATTAAAATCTGAATTATAAATTACAATTTGATTCCAACTTTATGGACATAGATTCATAAAATAGTAGTGTGATAAAATTTTGAATGAAAGTGTACAAAACATATGCTCTGACCCCGACTCATATGGAAAGGGTTAAATAATGTACAATACTAAAATCTGATTAAAAATTTTTGTACATACATTCATAAAACAGTAGTTTAATAACATTTTGAATGTAACTTTACAAAACTGATGACATGCATGATGACCCCAACCTCTATGGAAAGGGTTAAAGTACAGATGTCTAAGTAATAATTAACTTGTACTCACAAAATAAGTTAGGAATGTATATCATAGAAATTGAGAAGAATAAAAGTCTCACCCCTTGTTTCATGGTTTCATTTGCATGATCAGCAACTTGGCTCACAATCTCAAGAGCAATAACCGTGTCTTCATAATCTAAAGAGTCCTCTGGCAGATGGTGCAAGTAGTCCTGAAGCAGAAGACGGTACTGTGGAATGCGTTGAACAGGTTTAAGCATGTAATGACTCAAGGACAGTTTCTTGCAGCGAGGGCTTGTCTGTAAAGAAAAAGAAAACATTACTTCCAATGAGAAACAAAAAATTATCATATAATAATTCAAAGAAAATGTTTTGCAACAAAGTCTTATCTATAAAGAAAAAATATTAATCATAACAGGAAAAAAAATTATACTATGTTTCAATCAGATTTTGTTACAAGAAGAACTCATCTATATATAAAAAAAAACATTATTCATACTGGGAAACTAAAACAATAACCCAAGAAGAGATTCTTTTAATGCGAATTTGTCTATGTAAAATATCATTTGTAACCAGGATACCAAAAAACAAACAAAAAGAATCTGAAAAGAATCACATTCTAACTATATGCATCAGAAAGATGTATCAAATCTACAGACAATCGAACTTCTCTCAAATAATAAATTTCTTAATTGTTGAAATGAGAAATTTTATGGGCTTCATTTCAGGTTGGCTATGTGCACAAAGCAATTTCCCATATAAGTTAAATAATCCAACCTGTAAAGCAGAGGTGGACCATGAAATAACCAGTTGGTGTGTTACATATAACAGAGGAGTTACGAGTGATAAGTAGTGGAAGATTATTCTGTCAGGGTTACAGACTTGACTTACTTCAAACTCTTTCACCACTTCTGCAAACACTGGAAACTTCTTTCGACATTCATCCAGCAATGCCGTCGTCAAGTTAAAATCTCGGAAGTATGAAGAGTAGAGCTTCAAAAATGGCCCGAGGGTAACAAAAATATCTGATATTTTTCCAGTTTCAGGCCTGTCAATGAAAGCTGCAGTTGAATTCAACAGTTCTAGCTTTGTATGTAATAACGACAGCTGTGTAACTATCATCAACAATATTGATCAACAGTTCTTGCTTTATATGTAATATAGACAGCTGGGTAACTATCACTCAATAATATAGATCAACAGTTCTTGCTTTGTATGTAATGTAGACAGCTGTGTAACTATCACTCAATAACATATATCAACAGTTCTTCCTTTGTATGTAATAGACAGCTGTATAACTATCACTCAATAATATACATCAACAGTTCTAGCTTTGTATGTAATATAAACAGCTGTGTAACTATCACTCAATAACATAGATCAACAGTTCTTGCATTGTATGTAATATAGACAGCTGGGTAACCATCACTCAATAATATAGAACAACAGTTCTTACTTTGTATGTTATATATACAGCTGTGTAACTATCACTCAATAATATAGATCAACAGTTCTTGCTTTGTATGTAATATGGACAGCTGTGTAACTATCACTCAATAATATAGATCAACAGTTCTTGCTTTGTATGTAATATAGACAGCTGTGTAACTATCACTCAATAATGTAGATCAACAGTTCTTGTTCTTATTATTTTTTTCAACAACCAAGAAAATTTTTATGGGAATAGTAATCAATATCACATTTGTCAGTTCATTATACTATATAAGAAATATCATGTAAGACTAAGTATATTCATTATCCAAGAAACCCCATGTCTAGCTAAATCTGTTCATTATATTATGTTAGACAGGTATATAAGTGTATTCATTATCATTTCTTAGAATTCCTATGTCTAGATAAGTCTACCTCTACATTAATACATCAATGTCAACCAAAAAAAAATATAAAGCAATTTATCAGCAGTCTGGGTAGCTAAATATTGAAGAAATTATAAAGCTATTTTACTATAAAAGCTAATACTACATAATTTGTGTTTTGTGCAATTCTCAGAAACTTGGAATGTTACTCACCAATGTTCTATTCGTTCCTGAAGTTCTCTGAGCAATTTCTTGTTAAGATTTTCAAGCTGAGGAAAGTATTTTAACAGTTGATTCAGTACATCTTCTGGAATAACAGACGTACCTCGTTCTTGTTCTGCTTCTTCCACAGCTCTTCTAAAGTCCTTACACACAAAAAATAATTTGAACTATCAAATCTTGAAAAAAAACAAACAACATAATTACTGTTCTTTTCTAAGAATACTGGATTTGAGATGGCTGCTCCTTCGTGTAGGACAATAATGTTGTATACACTAATAACCTGCAAAACAGTGTACTATTAAATTACATGTGTTAACTGTATGAGGGAAAAAGTACTTTTATTCATCAAATGAACATCACCTTGCAATCCAACTTAATTGAGTTAAACTGATGTTGTCAATTCACAGATGTATTTTGAGTACAAAAGTGTTTGTAACACACCTGAATCTGTGTGTACAACAGAGTTGTACATTATGCTCAAAGTTTGCCATCTTTTGTGTAGACACACACAGTAAATTTGAAATTATAGCCAACATTCCTTCTCCGATATAGGGTTGGTCCTGTGGACCAAGTTCAAGCACATTTGGTTAAAATAGTTCAGCATGTTTAATACAATTGCAAGATACAGCTTAAAACAGTTCAACATGTTTAACACAGTTGTCAGATACTGTTTCAAACAGTTCAAAATGTTTAACACAACTGTCAGATACTGTTTAAAACACTTCAACATGTGTAACAGAGTTATCAGATACTGTTTAAAATGGTCCGACACATTTAACAAAGTTGTCAGACATTGTTTGAAATGGTTCAGCATTTTTTACACAGTTGTAAGACATCAATTATGACTGTTCTGAAGATATTGACTGATATTCTTTTCAAAACTTGCTTACTACTTCAGTGGATTTCATTTTTTGTCACTAATACAGTGGGTGTTCCATAAGAGTTAAACTTGAAATTGATGCACAAAACAAATGTTAAAACTCTGTCATTAATGTTTTCATATACCCTAGTATTTTCTAAACATTGTGCTTGTGTTTCACTCATCTGACAATAGATTTGTAGCCACAATTTTATGTTTTACCAATACAGTTTCTTATATCTGAAATAATTCAACAGCTGTAACAAATAGTTCTTCATTCATCATGATGAAAACTTGTGGCAGAGTTTTAACATATTACATCTGTAACAAATATAGTTCTTGTTTTTTATTCACACACTTATTAAGTATATGTTAAAACTTGTGTCAGGTTTTCTGCAGTATTTATATATTTGATTCCACAGCTTTAGTACCGTGATGTAAAATGTTCCAAAACAACTTCAGTTTATTTAACAATACCTACCCTGCATTAGAAAAGCACAAACAAGTACTTTGAAATTCACAGTTTTCTACTGTTGTTGTAGATTTGTTGGGATTACACAGCAAGTGTGAGAGCTTTATAAGATAACTATAAATATTATCCAATTACTTAAACACAGTCTTTAGCACAAACTAACTTACATAATATCAGTTGTTTTTCATTTCACAAAATGCTGATAAAAACTACTAAAAAGAGAAATAACAATAAAAGTTCTGTTGGGTGTCAGTCAGACTACTGACACTGTTTGTCTTCCACAGGTATCACAAGCCTGTTCTTTCTAGTTTAAACAAAATTCTGTTAATTACTTTTATGTTCAACTATTAGTAACTTTTTTGTAAGTTATTACAATACCATTCAAAATCAAACACTATACCTACTCACAACCTTACCAAAATTTAAAGAAATTAAAAAACTAACCTCATTCAGTAGTCTAAGAGTATCAACAAACACCATCTCAGATGTCATGATTTCCTGAGCTATGTAGAAAACTCTTTTCTTCTTTTTCCGTGCAGCAGCTTCTTCGGTTGTGACACCAGATGAAAGTTCATCACTGTCCTCAGAAGAATCATCTTCTTGCCAACTGATTTCAAAGACAGAAGATTTGTCACTGTGGAGAGGCTCCTCTCTCCTTTTCTCTGTTTCTGGTTCAGAGCTCACAATTTCAAATGAAAATCTGATTTTCGTCTGACTTGGGCATTCCTTTTCTTTTTCATCATATCCTTTCTTTTTCAATTCATTTTTAAGATCTTGAACAAGCTCATCTATGTTTTCTGAATCACTCTGCTCAGTCTTTTTCTTCAGCAGGAGATATTCACCTTCAGACACTGTCTGTACTGACTTTTCCGTACGATCAGGTGAAAGACAATGTTCACCATCATTCTTGGCTTCATCTTGTAAACCTAACAAGTCTTCTGGTACATCACAGAAAAATTGTGAAGTTCTATGTTCTTTCTTTTGATTTCCTTCTTTTAACTTCAGAGAGTTGTCTAAGCTAGAAGACAGTTTATTATCTAAATGTTCTTCAGAATTCTTTTGCCAGTCACTTTTAACAACTTTTACATGTTCTGAAATGTCATTCTTATCATACCATTTTGTTTTTCTGTTTTCTTCTAATTTTAGGTTGAATGATTTTGAATTCCTTCTCTGAACTGGCTCCACATCAGCTGTAGGTACTTCCTGACTGTAAAACACACTATTTGCTATCTGAACCTTACTGCCTTCTACATCAGCTACCACTTCTTTAGAATGATGTTTGTTGTCAGTTTTACTTTGAATGATCATTTCTTTTGTTGTGTAAGGAGTTCTGGCACTTTCATCAACTTGAGAATCCTGAAGCTTTCTCCCATCTTCTAAAAAAGTATGATTTATATGGTTTTTATTTCCTAACTGCTGTTCTTCCAAAATGTGTTCAGTATGAGGTAGTTCTTTAAATTCCCCAGATGTAACTAAGTCTTTATGATTTTCAATACTCTGATTAAGTAATTCTGTACTTTCTATTTTAACTTTTAATTCTTTCACTTCTGATGAGTCACTGTAACCAGTATAAGTTAGGTGAGTGGATTGTTCATCTTCACCTGATGATAGAAACCCTCTTGGTTTAACAGTTGGGGTAAGAGAAGGTATGGGAAGTGGAGAAAACTTCATTTTTGTATACCCATGAAACTTATTATTGGTTCCTATTGCAGAGTTACACTTGGTCCTCTGTAACTCATTCTGACTTTGAGTAGAAACAACTAATGGGGTTCTTGATGAAGATAGTACCTCATGATCTGTTCTCTTGTTCATGATGTCATTTTCATCTAAAGATTTACTACGACAATTCTTTTTCTCATCTCTTTTCCAGATTGAACTTATAATTTCTACTGTTCTTGACCGCTGCCGTTTCACTCTTGGAGAAAATCTAGGTTGCATTTCTGTTTTAGAAGCCTTAAGATGAGTTTTCTCTAATACCATGGAGGGACGAATTCTATATCTGTGAGAATTCTGAATTTGTTCATAGTAGTTAATTTTCTTTCTCAGAGAATTATAGTCTGGAGGGAGAGGTCTCTGAGGTTTAGAAGATTGAGAAAGCTCAGTATTAGTGCTTATTTTGTCTTCAGAACAAGTGTTGAAGCTATGTGATAAGACATATTCTACTTTCTTGTTCTCTTTCTCCAGAGTGCATTTTTCTTCTTCTGTTTTTTCACCAAGTAAATTTTCTTGGATTATTTTTTTTGTATCTATTACAGAAAAAATTCCTTCATCTCCATTTGACGCTATTTCACAGATGAGGAGGTTAGAGTTTTTAACTTCTAGTTTTACATTATCATTAGAAACTTTACTATCATCTAATACAGATTTATGTTCATTTGATAAAGAAATACCATGAATCTGTTGTGGTATATTTCGAATAGCTGTATCTTCTCTTCCTTTAACCTTTGGTGGAGGTGGATGTTCAGGTAGTGTTTTATTTTCTGATGATGAATGAGGAAGTGAAGAAGGCTTTGAAACTGAGGACGGAATTATTTGGAAATTTTGTAAGTAAGGATTTTTTAAAACGGGCAAAACCACCGTATGAGGTCTCTTTTTTTCTCTTCCACTTGCAGTTCTATATGTTCTCCATTTAACACCTTTCTCAAAGTTGCCCCCCACTTCACTTGAAGAATTTTCATCAACAAAAGTGACAGATTTTTGGTTCCTTAAAAGGGGTTCACTGTGAAGCACTCTTGGAGATAAATTCATTGTACAAACTGCTGAAACAATTTCTTCAGGTTTTTGTGTTAAGTGACAGGTATTGCTTTTCATTTTCTCACTAAACTTTATGAGCTTGGATGACTGGTCTTTAACTTCTAATATGTCTGAAGTAATATTCCCTTCAGAATGAGCAATGGTATGTTTATCTAAACCAAATGGTGCTCCAATAGGATGATGAGGCTGTACAGGTTTATGGCTCTTGGAGGTCGGAGAAGCTAGTTGTTCATTCTCTTTCTTGTTTACCAGACTTGGTGTCCTGTTTGCTTTATGTGAAGAGCTAATAAGTCCCGATTTCTTAGAGTAAGGGCTAGTTGACCTCAATTTATTTACGGGGCTTGTCGGTCTCCTTGTTTTATTAGCAGGACTATTTATAGGGCTAGTTGGTCTTGCTACTTTATGCACTGGTTTAGTTTTGTTAATTACTTTCTGACTTGGGCTGTCAGGTCTTGTTGGTTTTGGTAGCTGAATTACAGAATCCACAAGATGAGGTGAAGTTGCCATCTGACTTGGGCTCCTAGGTCTTGCTGGTTTCTGTAGCTGAGCCATAGCTTTGGTTTCAGGGTGAGGTGGATCTTGAGGAGAAGCATAATGACCTGGACCAAATTTTTTTGGACGTGGTGGAACAGCTGGTTTTGAAGGTTTAAGGAGAGTATTAGGTTTTGCATCAATTTTCACATCTTCAACTTGTCTTTCTCCTGGTGGCTTTTTAGTAGATAACAATTTTTTCATATTTAAAAGTTTTCTTTCTTCCTCAACTGGTCTTGTTTCATCATGAAATTTTGCAGTGATTAGAGTTTCTTCAGCATATTTATCCACTTTCACTTCATTGGTTTTCTTTTCAAAATCAAAACTGGTTTTTTCAGTATCAATCAATTCAGATAACATGAGAAATTTTTCGTGAATATCTGTCTTTTGTTGTTGATGAAAGTGATCTTGAACTCCACTAAAGTGTGAATAGTTTACATCTGAGCCTAATGTATCTTTTTCTTCAGAAGAAAGTTGTGCAGCCTGCTCCTCCTTTCTGATTTTAGGCACATGGGTTAACCTAGCTAGAGGCAAAGGTCTTACTAGTAATCCAGATCCCTCTCTGAGGGGAGGCACAGGTCTTGTTGATAATCCAGATCCCTGACTAAGGGGAGGCACAGGAATTTTTGGTAATCCTGTTCCCTTACTAATGGATTCTGGGCACATTTCTTTTTCATTTGTTAAAGAAGATTCTACCTCAAGATTTTCTTGAACTATCTCTTTTAGAGATTTAACTTCTTTAACAGGTCTTGCTTGACTTTTGTGTGATTCAAAAGACTTTGTTTTTACTGTATCTTGGTCATTTGTTGATATGTTTTCTGCTTCTAAAAAAGAACCTTCTGTCTGTAAGCACTTGGAGGATGCACATGATTTGAGAAATTTATCTTTAAGGCTACTGCTACTTGAAGGTAAAACACTTGAAGATTGTGAGACAGCTGTTTGAATTTCACATTTTCTATCTTCTTCTGAAGTTATGTTTTTTGAAACTGGAGAAGAAACTTGTTGGATAGAGTGAGAAATATTAGGACCTTCATAGAGTCCACTGTCTGACAAGTCTGCTTCATTGCTTTTTTGATTCTTTATTGTAATGAACTGATATAAATCAACATCTGGATAATCACTTGATATCTCGCTTGCACTGTCATCAATGAACTGAATGACTCCTTTACTCACAGGAATGTCTTCACCAAAGCTTCTTGGTCGAGGCTTTTGAGTTTGATTCCCTCGCAGTCTTGCTTCCCCTTCCGGTGCTTCTCTTGATGCTTTTGCTTTTGCTAAAGCTTCGAGTGAAGGTTTAGGAGGTTTTGTAGGTGGGAGTTTACTCTTTGTATGAAGAGTCATCAGCTTGAGAGCTTGTTTTTGTGAGACAAAAGAATGCCCTGCAAAAGAGACTTCATCACCCGACTCTGGTTCTTCTGTTCTTTTGGGAAGCCGACCAGAAAGACTACGGTAGAATCTACTGTGAGGCACTTCATGGGATAAACTCAGTGCATTACTAGAAGACTCTCTTAAACTTTCTGCTCTTTTCACAATATCTTTATTTGCACTTTCCTTTATATGATTAACTATTTTCTTATAATCCTCTTTTTGTTTTTCTAGTGATTCAAGAGTTTTAGGATTTTCTTGATGTCTTCTTGAATCTACTTGTTGAGTGTTAGTACCTACATCTTCAGCATCATTAGTAACCATTCCTTGAGCTGTGCTAAGACAGTTGATCAGAAAAGAGGATGCTTCAATGGGTTCACATGCTAGTTTTTCATTAGAACCTTCATCATCCAAGTCATGCAGTCCAGAAGTTGTAACAGGAAGAGAAAGTGCTGAGCTGGCATCTGTGTCTGATGTTGCAAACCTGAATGATGATAGAAAACAAGTTGAAGATGTTGTAATAACAGTGACACATCATCTTAGTTAAGAAAAAATGTTTTAATGTAGACAGCCTAATCCAGCAGTGATACCAGAAACATAGAAGTTTTACAACATAGATTTTCTTTCATAGTTAACTGTACAGTTAACTAAGTTAACCTATTAACTGCTGCAGAAGCAGCTCAGTTGCCATTTTCTGACTCACAGATAAAACTCAGTTGCCATCAATCACAATAAAATGGTAATTATCATCATTCGCATAGAGTTATAGTTATATATGTGAGTGACTGACGGATATTTCCGTCATTTGCAGGTGAGCCATAGAACTTCAATGATGGAAATATTTGTCATCCACAGTTAATGGGTCAAGGTATTTACTGTACTGTATGATAGCAATATTGTTCTGCTACTGTTGTAAAAAAGAATTATTTAAGACCCAAGCTGATTTTACATCTCACATACACTGAACTTCTGTAAACAGTTTTAAGTATCTTATGAGTGTTTTAGTAGTATAGTGTTACAGAACCTCTATGTCTAAAAATGAAATTTTAAATTTTATCATGTATTGAAAGGTGGTATATTTTATGTAAGTTTTATTGCAGATCATCAAAGAAAATGAATCATCAAGGTCTACAATATATTATGAAAAACCTTAAACTCAGATTGATATCCATTACACTCCAGAATGTATTTCACAACAAATTATCACATACACCTCACATAACCATCTCTAAGTTTCCATATTATGTCATACTGTATTATATAATCAACTAACAAAACCAAAATTTTATATCCCTAAATCAATTAAATGCTGAGATATGGGTCACCAAAGTTTGATCTTGACCTATGACCTTACTCTCTTCAAATACCTCTATCTCAGGTCCTATGGAAGTTAGAATAAAAAGTAAATAAAAAAAAACATTTATAGTTCCTTTAATGTTCTATCAGATATATTTGGGTACAAAATACTGTAAAATACCAAAAAATTTTTTAATGAAAATTAGCCTTTGACCTTTAATATTATATTTAATCCAAAATCACTGAAAATTTGGAAGTGGGCACTTGAATATTTTATAACATATAATATATTGAATTATTGTTAATTTCAATTCCAAGAAAACTAGCTACAAAGACAAGAACTAAACATTAACCCAGTAAGTAATATAGTTAGTTTAATATAACATTCTTACTTACAATGATTAGAATACATTGATTCATCAGTAGGTTACCCTAGTTGTTAGTGACATTTTCAGCTGTAATCCTAAACAATGTCTCATGAGGTATGGCTAGCTTAAGAAAGTGAGTCCTAAATCCCTATATTAAATAGTGCTGAGCAACTATCACTTTTGGTAGTATTCTAATTAGGTCATTTTTAGAAAAAAAGGCATGAAAACAATGAAACAAAAAATAATAGATGACTTAGAGTCCATTAACTTAAACAATATCAGATGTTATACAAAAAATAATAGTAATCTGAAATCAAGCTTTGTTTATTATAAAAATAAAAGTAATTTGTTATTCTGCATCATTCGCTTCTACAAAAATCTTTATACAAAACATTGTACGTGTGGTCCCAAAGTGGGTCTTCAGACTAACAACACTACAATCCAAGGTTCAATTCCCCGTAGAGATAGAGGGTAGAAAGCCAAATGTTTAGCTTTGGGCCAAAAGCCAACAACATACGTATATGTGTGTCTGTAAGTATATATTTCAATGATCAATCACCTTTTATTACTAATTGACAGTATTACCATATTTCCAAGAAACCCCACCATATTACTAACTGACAGTATTACCACATTAAGCTGTGTGATACATATTCTTGAAGTTGTATTCCAATCTATTCACAGCTACCTCAGACTTACATATCCCAGAGAGTGGCCTCACAGTTCTTATCCAAAGAAATAAATTAACCTGATTCATTTCTGGTAATAAAGATAACCAAAAACAAGAATACCATTCAAAGGTCCCATATCTTGTACCCTTATTTCACATTTATTATTTTTAGTACACATTTCTACATTGATAAGAAGGCAAATGTTTGTTTTATTTTCATTTATTAGCCCTGTAGATAAGATGTTGATCAGAGCAATATCTTCAAGTTCTTCTCTGTTAGTGAACCCACAAATGGTGCTCAGCATTTATGTACAAATCAAATCAAAATGTAGGTATTAAATAATGATACAAATTCAATATCAATGTATATTTTAATAATCTAAATCTAACTGAAATTTCAGTTAATTGCTCAGCACCAATACTAAAAATAAGTATTACAACAGAAATATTTAATAATATTAAAAAAAAATTGTATAACATCCTGATCAAAACTGTTATTTAAAGTAACATTACAGAAAGGATAGAATGTAACTCACAAAACACATAAAAACTAGTTGATTGCTTCATGCACTATCACCAGTTCCTTGACAATAGCAAAAGAAAACTTTGTAATATTCCCTGTTATAAATTAAAGCCCACTAAAACAGTGAAACGAGTAGCATGACAGCTGTGATAAATAACTACAAGATGTATTCCTGTTTAACTATAGACTCAGGTAGTAGAGTAGTATAGAAAAACATTAATGTTTAAGAAGGTACAAGATAACAAATTAAATGAAAAAACAAAATCATACAATACATAATAAAAAAAACACAAAATGTGAAACTGCAAGTTTGCATGTATTTCTGCGTGGACCCAACAAACCTTTATGCCAAATTTGGTGAAGATCCGTCAACAAAGGGCAAAGTAGTAGTGAAAATGCAAAAATGCCCATAAAAACCACAAAATGCAAAACTGAAAATTTGTATGTATTTCTCCATGGACCCAAAAACCTTCATGCCAAATTTGGTGAAGATCCACTAACAGGGGGGCAAAGTAGTGGTAAAAAATGCAAAATGCAAATTTTCCATGTACCCCCCCCCCTCTCCCCCCATATGAACCTCCATACTAATTCTGGTGAAGAATCATTCACACCCTGCAAAGTAGTTAAATGGACATACAACAATATTTATACAGGTATAGAGTAATGATATCATATAGCAACAGTACAGTAAACACCTTGACAATATATATGCATCTTATCAAGTACCAGCATTAAGGTAAAAACCATGGCATTATGTGTACATTCAAACAATTGACCTGTAGCAAGAGCACAGTAAAACCTTGACACCATGTGTATGTCAATCAAACAGTTATTAGATAGCAAAAGTACAAAAAAAACCCTGACATTATGTGAGCATCCATCCATAGAAACAGTGTGGGAAGTATACTGGATTTATAGCTATCAACACCTTGGTGTGGAAATATAGTGTACGAAGTACTGGGTTTATAGTTATCAATACATCTTGGTCTGGAGATACAGGGTAGGAAGTACTGGATTTAGAATTGTTAACACACCTTGGTCTGGAGGTATAGTGTAGGAAGTATTGGGTTTATAATTATTAATACCTTAGTCTGGAGATGCAGTGTAGGAAGTACTGGATTTCAAATTATTAACACACTTTGGTTTGGAGATATAGTGCAGGAAGTATTGGATTTACAGTTATTAATGATGAGAATATTGCTGTCAAAAAAAAAACATATTAAAAACTCTTGAACACGAGTCCTAAATCTTTTAACTTGTTTACAAGAATAAATCAAATTTATGTAAGAAAAGATAGTAATTTGTATCAAAGTTTTGACTAAAATTAGTGAGTTTTGAATTTTTCTTTATCAAAATCTGGAAAATAAAGGAAAGAAAGAGAATACTTTGAACATGAATTAAAAATTCAAAATAATAAGCACAAAACTTCCATGACTTATAGCGAAAAAAAAAAGGACATGTCTGAATCACATGCAATACCTAGGAAAGAACGAGTTTTTGATATATAGAATATACTCAAGTAAGAGTACTGCACATAGAGACTGAGTCACCATCACCTGTTGCCCTTTTACTGGTGGAGGAATATAGTCTCATGCCGATTTTATCAAAGAGTGGGACAGTACATGTTAATAAGTGAAGGGGTGGAAGCTCCATTAAAAGCTTGGCACACGCACAAGTATCTTTTTGGCAATGGTGCACGGTAACAGCTTTTAGTTCTGTAGAGAGGTGAGTAGCATCTATGATGTACTAGTTTCCTATTTGTCAGGCCCAAAAAGTTGATAATTTTGATACATAATTTTTAAGCTGAAATACTATTAATTAGTGAAATGGAATATACACACAGGAATTATCTAAACAAGTTTTTCAAATTACATGTTAAATAAAAGAGCCAGACCAGACTGATTAAGTAGTTTTCCAAATAAGTATTCATTCCAGCACTCAAGTTAAAAAGTTAACAAGGGGAACTCCTCAAATCTACTCACAGTTGCATATTCTAATAATCATGTTTTTGACAGTCAGTTTCAGTTTTTTTCTCTCGGTTAACAAGGTATTGCTCTCTATTCCCCCTCATTTTCAGTACTGATCAATACTAATTAACAGACATATTACATGAGCTTAGCAGCCTCAGCAGTTGTTCTAAGCTATATATCTTGAACAGGGTCAAGTAGGGTGGATATAGTCAGGAAAAACATATGTTATGTTTTCCTAATAAATTTAATTCACATTGATGAGGAACCCACTTCAAATAAATATATGTACATAATAGAGACAGCTGATTAGTTATCTCAGGTAAAGCAACATTATATACAATTTTTTGTAGTTTTACATGATTTCAAAATATACAGTGTTTTTAAAATGTAAAAATGTATGATCACACTATAAGCAATCTTTATAAGAATACTGATTTTAGATAATTTATCAAAAAATATTCATCTACAGGGTTTCATCAATTAAATTAAAACCATTTCTGAACCATAAACAAAACTAATTACTTTAATAAAACAATCATTCATAATTGCCTAAGTCTTGTTTTTGCATCTTATATCCTGCTACCTTTCTTCAAAGCTTTCTTTCCAAAACATAATTACCTCTGCTACCACTTATAGCTATTACTCAACCTCCAGGATTTCTTCTTTGCCCATCTCAGCATTAGTCTGATATTTTTCTCACTTGCTCCAGTCTTTTATACCCTACTCAATTGTCCTTGGCAATAATTGTCTTGTGATACTATCCACCTTCGTCAATGTGCCCTCTATCCTGGTACTGTATATAAGCACCTCATTCAAATAACTTTAACACTTTTTCTCGACAAAGCATCACTAACGGGTTTCCCAGTATTAAGATCATTCGGAGATACTTTGAACATTATCGTGTTATCATAACAATAATGATAATGTTTTTCTTTCTTCCGATTGGCAAGCTGATTATGATATGGATTCCCAGATTAATATTTCTGGCATGGATGCCAACTGGGTATCTCCTCTCCCACCTCTGATATCTAGTATTGCACAACCATCGGGAGGAGTCACTCTCGGTTGAGACTGTCAGTGATCTTATTCATATATTTGAACTGCAGTGGTATTCTGTGGGGCTCTGAGGCTTTGCTTGAGGACAATCCTCAACATATTGGAGAGACTTTAGATTAACTTTTTCCTGTGCATTCCTTTTAGTCTGTTGGATTTTCAGAACCCCTGTGGGTCAATGATAAGTTTGTGGACTCTCAGCACTGCGGTCTGGAATTCAATTCCCTACAGTGGACATGGCTGATGGCCTGCAAGTGCTTTGCTCTAACAAAACAACTTTAAATGACCTATGAAAAATGAAAAGGAGGCCACTTTGAGATCAACTGCCTTTGATTTGTTTTTCTTCTGTTGGTTCTTCGAGCATGTGATGTTTTGGGCTTTTTGCTGGTTTCTTTCAAGCCTGCAACTTAATTGATGGCTGAAAGGTCTGGGAGCAAATTTTTTTTCTCCATACATGGAAATTGTGGTTCATGCTGGAAGGTTTACTTATCAGTTACGTGAAGGGACAGCCATGCCTCATCCGACACATTGTCAGAACTTCATGATTTCGTCTACCACCACTAGGTGGAGGCATTTTTCCGATTCTCAAATGATATTGAAGTTTGTAGTTCACCTATAGTGGTCTATGTCCCCTGATGGGACAGAGTAAGTCTACAGACATACAATTCAACTTTAACATTTAGTTTCTTTTTACTTCACTTTGTTATAAGGCTTTCAGGATCACCAGTTTCATTGAGTATGAGCTGGATCCAGTGTTAGCATGCACGTTGATTCAATTTTCAGCTTCTACATTCCTCCCAGTGGTTGTTGGAATCTCAGATTTCATTGGCTCCTACAGGAATGTCATAATTCCACCCTTATTCGTGAGTACCTATACCCAACATCAGCTCCTCAGTTCATTGGTACTCAGAATAGATTCTGTCTATATTCAAGGTATCCACTGCTTAGCTGGATTGCCAGCAGCATCAGTGATTATTATATACCTTCAGGAGCTGTGGGGGCTCGGTTTCAAGAATTTCTGAAGATGTGTTAACCTTAGCCATCAGTCCAGAAGCTCTGCTGATTCTTTGGTCGCAATTGATTGTTCAGTGCATATCTTCCCCACTATTATCCAACCAACCTGTAGGGTTTCCGTCTCCTGCAGTTCATCGGGATTTGGAACTTAGTTCTAGGGGTTATCTGAGTCTGGATGGTTTTGGAGTAGTGAGAGAGTTGGGCTAGTTCTTCAGAGTTTTTATTCCTGTTAGTTGTTGGGCCTATGAAGACTGGAGGTTGGTGTCCAGTCATCAATATTCCTTGTCTATATCAATGCCTAGATTCTACAAGGTTCACAAGTTAATCATTCCTCAATCGTTGTTGATTTTTTTACTGGGATTGTAGATGTCGAACTTGGTTGTAATCTGCTCTTATCTGCATTTTGCCTTAGCGGTAGAGTCCCACCATTATTGGCATTTGTGGTGCACAAGAGTCAGGTACTGCAGTTCCAGGTTCTTTCCTTCAGTCTCGCCTAGGCTTAACATGGGTTCTGCTGTATTGTATGAGTTTTCTTGTCCCTTCATTCCATCGTACTGTGCACACACCATTCCATGGATGACTGGTTACTGCTGGCAACATCTCATCAATTGTCAGACCATCGCATCCTGATTGTACTTTCAGATACAACCCAGGCAGGCTTCTCTTTCGGGACTGCAACATCTATTCTTGCTCCATTTCAATTTGTCATCAGTCTGGGTAATTTTTAATTTTTATCTCTTCTCTTGGTCAGGCTCAGTTGTCTCCTATCCTGCTCAATGCTATCAAATAGGATGCTACACTCTTACTCACCTCTTCTCCCACTGCATGGAAGGTTCTTTCCCTTATGGGAATGTGGGCATCAGTAAAATCCTCCGTGCCTTTGGAACAAGAACACAAGTGATCCGTTTATTGGTCTTTAAGCAACCAGGGATCGTACACATCTATTTCCCGGTTTCCCCTGTTTCCTTAGTCAGGATCATTCTTCGATCTCAAGGGGTTAAGTCTGGATGCTACTACAATTTGAGTTCCTCTACTGCTACCTTGTCCAGAGTTCCATTCTCTTCATGAATGCCTTGCTTCAAGAATGGAGCACATATACCAACAGTCAGGAATTCCAGAGTCTATGCATAGACGATAAGGATTCCATACACAATGTTTTCATCATTTTTGCTCCTCAACAGGCAAGGTCTCATAGTCTGGGCTTCTTAAGGGGTAAATCATCAGGCTTCACCATGGTGTCTTATGTTTCTCATTAAAAAGGCATGTGATCTAGGGCTCCTTATTTCAAATTTTGGACTTATCACACTTCTAGCTTGCCATCTTCCACAGGTGATGCCTGTGGTAGAATGTCCATTGTTTCAATCCAAACAGATTCTCCCGACAGAATAGATGTTGCATCGTAAGGTTGTCCACTTCGATGTTGCTTACTTTCTTCTCTTGATTCCAGTGGTTCAGAACACATCACTCTATGGTTACAGGTTGGGATCCAATCAAAAGTATAACTATATATAACATTGCGGTCCAATTACCCAAGCTACCAATGTGGGATATAGGGACCAAGACCCTTAATTCCAACCCCCAGTAGTGGAACCTTGGCTTTCTGTTTGGGACTGGCCTATAGCGATGATAACTATGTACAATTCCATCCTTGATAAAGGAACTAAGTTCAGGGTGAAAAGCATACCTATTCTGGATGTAGTGTGGTTCTCCCAATCTTATCTTGGTACACCCATGATCTATGTAAACACTTTCTGTATGGATAAAGCCCTCACAGACCCCTCCACCTAGATACTAGCTAAGAGTGACAGTAGAGGTATGTTTTTTCTGGAAGTTAACATTTTCCTAAATTGAAAATATATTTTCAATAATACTTACTTCCACTGACACTCTCCTACCCATTCCTCCCTACTAAGAGCCGGGGTTATTTTAGAGACTGGGATGGTATCAGTCTCAAAAAAGTGATAAAATTATCTGAATGAGGTGCTTATATACAGTATCATGATAGAGGTCACATTGACATAGGTGGAGAGTATCACAAGACAATTACTGTAAAGGTCAGTTGAGTGGGGTATAAAAGACTGGAGCAAGCAAGAAAACTATCAGACTAATGCTTAGATGGGCACAGAAGAAACCCTGACAATCGAGTAATAGCTATAAGTGTCAGTGGAGGCAAGTATTACTGGAAATATATTTTCAATTTCGGAAAATGTTAACTTTTGTATTTTAATGCTGGACCTCTGACACAATAAATTAATAAAGGTGTAATAACTGGATATAACTAACTAAACACCATAATTAGAATAGAACACAAAATTATCTTTAGGTTCAACCACACCTTCTTGTAAAGGTTTCTCTATGTTCAATGTTACTTCCTTCCTCTTCAAATGGGTGGCAACCTTGTGTTATGATGTTTTCTTCATCCGGATCCTGTCCTGCAGATCCTAGTGGTACCGACTTCAGGTCATGTTGTGATGATATAGACAGATTTACAAAATTACCCGTGGATAAACTACATGAAGTTTCCACATGGGAATTTGACAGAATTGCTGGTTTTGGTGGTAATGGTGGTTTGGGTTTATCTAGAAAATAAAAAGAAATACAGAGTAATTGTCCAACCAATAGCTAATATGGAAAATACGTTGGTGTATCTTATTTCTGTATCTTAGTAGCTATATATTTATATGTAAAACATACTTTATTTTACTGACTTCACATTTGGAAATTACTTTGCAGTGACCCTATTACTTTGAAAAAAATCTATAAACACAGAACCTTCAAAAAAACACTGAAGCAAAAACAGATACGAAACACATTACATACATCCATATAGCATACTCTACATTTAAAAATTATCCTATCCACAGATAACACACACATTACATACATCCATATAGCATACTCTCCATTTAAAAATTCCTATCCACAGATAAACAGATAACAAACACATTACATACATCCATATAGCATACTCTCCATTTATAAATTATCCTATCCACAGATAAACTGATAACAAACACATTACACACATCCATATAGCATACTCTCCATTTAAAAATTATCCTTTCCACAGATAAACTGATAACAAACACATTACACACATCCATATAGCATACTCTCCATTTAAAAATTATCCTTTCCACAGATAAATAGATAACAAACACATTACATACATCCATATAGCATACTCTCCATTTAAAAATTATCCTATCCACAGATAAACAGATAACAAACACATTACATAATCCATATAGCATACTCTACATTTATAAATCATCCTATCCACAAATAAAGAGATAACACATTACATACATCCATATAGCATACTCTCCATTTATAAATTATCCTATCCACAGATAAAAAAAAAAAGATTAGATATTTATTGTTATGGTCTTTTTTGTCTTTTTGAGATTAAATTTTATTGCCAAAAATAATAATCTCTACATTGTGTAGCTTTGTGCTTAACTTCAAATCAAACAAACTCTTATCAGTTTTGTATTAAGTACATCTAACTTAGTAGTGGTTTGGTGGTTAAGGTGCTCAACTCACAATGTGAAGGTCCTGGGTTTGAATCTTGTCACTAAACCTGTTTACCCATTTAACCATGGGGGAATTATAACATCGTGTTCAATCCTGTTATTCAATTAGAATAACCCAGAACTGGCAATGGTAGGTTGACAAATTTCCTTTCATTAAGTCTATAATTTTTAAATTATGGATGGCTAGTGCAGACAAACTAACAAACAAGTGATTGTAATACTTTTAAATTAAAAATTCTATTATGTTATTTCCAAAGATAAGTAAAGGAGAATATAAATACCAAAATGTACTTAGAGATGATACAGTTTAACTAAACATCAAACCTTAAAAACTTAAGCTTAATATATTTTTCGTTTTAATCATTTGTGTAAATACCATAATTTTATATTCCTTTAAAAAACACCATATCAGGTGTATACGATGCCATCTGTTAAGTGCTCTTTACATGATAGAAACAAAAAATAGACAAACACCTATACACAGCAATTTTGTTCTAAATTTAAAGTTTAATTAAGCTACATACTGGAATAAAAAACTGAGCAATACTTCACAATATGCCTTTGATAAGTCATATCCTTGGTTAATCATTATAATTGATGTACAATGTAATAATCAGAGTAATGGAATAAAATTTTAAGCACCATTAAATACTTTCGTACTTGACTGTATAAAGGAAGAGGCTAGAACAAGTGTTGCAATCATGACAGTGCAAAAATAATCAATAATTTACAAATCAAAAGTACTATATCACTACTGAAGTACCACACCTCTCCCATCTCTCACTCAGGCCTGTCTTCTGACCAAAAAATTAAAATTAACATTAAACCCAATTACGTTTAAACTTGTAATGTGATCCACGACATAAACACCACAAACCCTTTAATTATGAAAATTACAATCATTACAATGATGAAAGTAAATAAAACACTTTTCTTAACATTAAGTTATATCCATTAATAATAAACATTAAACTACACATTATATACATATATTGTTTCTCTTATTTAACAATAATACTAAAATATTAATATTAGGAAAACCATATTAAAAAATAATTGTGTAAGCACATGATTATGTTGACAGCAACTTAAACAACGAGAAACCAACAAATTGAAGTCACTTTGTCCACTTTAAAGAGTGGACAGTTTAACAGAACAAGAAAAATGAAATTAAATTAAAGGCTTTAACAAAAATTACAAATGAACTCAAAACAATAAACTATCTACAAAATTCGTGACAAGAATTAGGGAAAATTATCATTAAACAAAAAACCAAAACATCAGAATTAGAATATAATACATGACATGAATTAGGGAAAATTAATGTTAAACAAAAAACCAAAACTTCAGAATTAAAATAAACTAAAATTCATTACAAGAAAATTAAAGTTCAAACAATTCAAAACTTCATAGTAAATGAAAAAATAAATGAATGAAAATATCTACATCTTGTTAGGTCCTTTTCAGGAGTATTTAAGCATTGCTCCCACTCATCTTAACCTGCTAGCAGACTTCTTTAGGGATGGTGTCATTTTAAGGTTGGCTGCTTCCGACTTCTACAGATCATTCTGGGTCTTCTTCACAGCTTGCTCAGTGTTAACAAGCACAGCCTACAGATTCCACATTGAAGGGGTTACCCTACTCTTCATTTGATCTTCCTTCCTGTTGTATGGGGCCCCATGATTCCATTGTGGTGATCTCCTAACAGTGTTTTCAGCATCAGGATTTGCTCTAACATCAGGCAGAGATCAATCATGTTGTATAGGGCCCATGCTTCCATCGTGGTGACCTCCTAACAGTGTTTTCAGCATCAGGATCTGCTCTAACATCAGGCAACGATCAATCACTTTTGGCAGTTTATCTGGAAGTTCTACTCTATTACTTATTAGTGAAGAGTTTCATCACTAAGAAGGCCTCTCACTCACAAGGTAGCAGAGGTTTATCCACAGGCTTAATGTGTACACACCCACTCACAGAACATGTGTCCAAGGAATTAGAAGACTTCCCAATCCATTCCCCTCTAACTTCCTTGGTTTTCCTTCAACCAGGTACTTCTGGCCATTCTGCCCAATACTGTCCCTATTAAGCAGCTGGAGAGTATGGAATATATGCACCAAATATCCAATTCACTTTCTTCACCTAAAATCTGGTTGTCATTCAGACAGCACTTCGCTAACTGATCAATAACAAACTGAACAATGTAACTTACTAACTGCATCACTGTTTACCTCACTCCCAGTAAAACTCTTTAAATAACATTGAACTGATTAATTAATTCTATCTTTCTCGGTCTGTCATTTTATACTGTATTTGATTATATGAATATTTGATATTCCACAGAGGTTTATATTTTCATGAAACTCGAGACTTCACACAGATATTACATTATGTAAAACACTCCAGAATTTCAAAAACAGTCTGTAACAGTATTCTGTCCTTGTGGTAAATCTTCTCACAGTTAATTTTGTCTGATTTAATAATTATAACACACCAATTCTTAATTTTCTTATGGATCAATAACATAATAGTTGAATGTAATACTAACAACTGTTCTGATGGTCTAACATTATACTAATACAATACTTAACAACTGGTCAGGGGTTTAATATTACACTAATATAATACTTAACAACTAGTTGGAGGTTTAATATTACACTAATATAATACTTAATACCTGATCAGTGGGTTTAATATTACACTAATATAACACTTAACAACTGGTGAGGGGTTTAATATTACACTAATACAAAACTTAACAAGTGGTCAGAGGTTTAATATTACACTAACATAATACTTAACAACTGGTCGGAGGTTTAATATCACACTAACATAATACTTAACAACTGGTCGGAGGCTTAATATTACACTCACATAATATTTAACAACTGGTCGGAGGTTTAATATTACACTAGTGTGATACTTAATAACTGGTCAGGGGGTTAATATTACACTAATATAATACTTTACAACTGGTCAAGGGGTTTAATATTACACTAATATAACACTTAACAACTGGTCGGAGGTTTAATATTACAGTAATATAATATTTAACACTGGTCAGGGGTTTAATATTACACTAATATAATACTTAACAACTGGTCAGAGGTTTAATATTACACTAATATAATATTTAACAACTGATCAGGGGTTTAGTAATACACTAATATAATAATTATCAATTGGTCTGACGTTTAATATTACACTAATATAATATCTAACAACTGGTCAGGGGTTTAGTAATACACTAATATAATAATTATCAACTAGTCTGAGGTTTAATATTACACTAATATAACACTTAACAACTGGTCAGGGGTGTTGATATTGGCCTATGTACTATAATTTAGCTCTTTAGATTTCAAGGTCAGTTAGATGACTACGGTATTTGTAAATCAATCTTCATGCGATGCTGAGTCATAATAAAACTGTGTCCGGTTGAAAGAACTAACTACACGTTAAAATCCATCTATAACTTTAAAAATAATGGTTTCAAAACGATGCACAACTTCGAAAACAAATCAATTCACATAGCACAGCCTTTACCATACAACAAGTGAACGCCATTTACTCTAACACGGCAACTATGCTACCTAGCTTGTAACGTAAAACATTTTAAAGAATCGTTAGGCTAACCTATCAGAGCGTAGCAGTAAAACTACAGAAAAATGCCACATTTCAAAAGTTCACGAGCTTTGTTGATGCAACAGGGAGATACTTCATTTAGTCATACACGTTCAAACAAATGTTTTGGAACGAAAAGCTTATACGTAACAATGGTTTCGCTGCATAAGAATTAGACTTTATGAGAATGAGACTAAGTTTCTCAAAATTTCTGTACATGAAAGAAAATATGTTGCAATTACCAGATTTTACATTGACAACTAAAGATTATCATAATACTGGCGTTACAGAGGGACTAAGTTATTTAATATCGTGGACCCATTACCTTCTAGAGTATTGCCATGGACTATAATTATCCCCGTCTAGAATACTGCCATGGACACAGTAATGTCACAGGTATCTGTCCCCATCTACAGTACTGC